AGATGGAGAGTGAAGGGGGCCAGGATTGGAATTCTGGGGGAGCAATAACATTTTAAAAGACCAGCAGAGAAAAAAGGACCCCCGTGGAGGAAGGTCAGAAAGGAGAGTGGACATGAGGAATGTGCAGTGTCTCAGAAGGCAGAGTGTCCAGGAGGAAGTAGCACCCAGTACTCAGGGTCAAGAACATGCATGACTTGCAGTGTTGGAGGCCGTGCCTCGGCGTGTGGAAGCACACAGGAGGCATGTGGCAGAGTCGGGCGCGGTGGATTCCTTCCAGAATTTCGGATGAACAGAGAAGAAGAGAGGAGGCTTGGACGGCACCACACATTCCGAACGTGGCTGTCGGGGATGGGAGAGGCCCCACTTGAACTGAAGAGTGTTCGCGTTTGTCCTCTTCCCAAGGACTGCTTGCCAGGGGCGCATTTGACACATGTCTCTGCCCTTCGGAGTTCTGTAAATCAGTGGTTAGGTGTAGAGGCTTGAGCAGAGTCAGACTGGATTATTTGGGTGGGGCAACTACTCCCGAGGTGACATCATGGTAACGTGAACGATCTTTTGTGAATTTGCAGACATTGATGATCGTTGCCTGGAACAATTAATTCATTCAGGCATTACACCTATGATTTCAAAGCCATTTCTTACTAGGAGAGGTTTTATGGATGTAGCTATTCCCCTCCCCCAAATCGGTGGGTATACACTGCATATTGACATGGAAATTACAAATCAATTTCTTTATTCAAAAATCACTTACTGACTTCTCTGCTCTATGCCAAATACCGTTCTGGGTCCTAAGTACAAAGTGGTGTATAAAGGTCTATACAAAGGTCTGGGCTTATGAAGCTCATAGCGAACAGACTAAGGGTCTTGTGAAGTTGTGAGTGATCATGCAGCGCTGTTCACACCACGCACAGAGCCGCTGCCGAGCGAGGACGGTGAAGGCGAACACTTAGCAGCTGCAGATGTGATGCTGGCGGAGGGCGGTGACGAGGCACAGATGTGCCCGGAATATTTGGGTACCAAATGACCTATTATCCTGTCAGAAAAATCATGTACACAGTACAGAGAATTATCATCATATTATTTTGTGATTAAGTCATGTAAAAACTCACAGATCGATTTGTTAGAACAGACAAAATCCTGTGCACTGACAACAGCCAGTGCTGGCGAGAGTGGGAAGCAGCAGGAAGAGAGGTCGACCTCGTTGCTGGTGGGCGGGCCAAAGGGGGCAGCCGCTTTGGCAGACAGCTTGCCAGTGTCTTCCACAATTATATATAGTCTTACCACACAACCCAGCAATCAGGCTTCTTCATGTTTCCCCAGAGGAATTTAAAACTTATGTCCACACAAATTCCTGCACATGGTTGTTTCTAGCAGCTTTATTCATACTTGCCCAGGCTCAGAAGCAACGAAGGTGTCCTTCGGGAGGTCAAAGGATAAATAAACTGTGGTCCAGCCAGACAATGGAATATTCTTCAATCCTAAAAGGAAATGAGCTGTCAGACCATGGAAACACATGGAAGAATCTCTCTTATTTTTCAACAGTTTATTGTCAAGTTGGTTTCCATATAACACCCAGTGCTCATCCCCACAAGTGCCCTCCTAACACATGGAAGAATCTTAAATTTCTTTAAATATCCATTTATTTTTGAGAGAGAGAGAGAAAGAGAGAGACCAAGCATGAGTGCAGGAGGGGCAGAGAGAGAGGGGAGACACAGAATCCAGAATCAGAAGCAGACTCCAGGCTCTGAGCTGTCAGCACTGAGCCTGATATGGGACTCGATCCCAAGAACCATGAGATCATGACCTGAGCTGAAGTCAGACACTTAACTGACTGAGCCACCCAGGTGTCCCAACACATGGAGGACTCTTAAATGCTTGTTACTGTGTGAAAGAAACCAATCTGAAAAGGCTATATACCGTATGATTGCAATTATATGAGATTCTAGAAAAGGCTCGGCTATGGAGGCAATAAAAAGATCAGTGGTTGCCAAGGGTTGAGGGGAGAGAGGGTTGAGTAGGCGGAGCACAGAGGACGTTTAGAGATGTGAAAATACTCATGGGACATAACGGTGGACATGTGTCCTTATACATTTGTCCAAACTCACAGGATGCACAACACCGAAAGTGAGCTCCAATATGAGCTATGGACTCTAGGTGATTATGATGTGACAACATAGGTTCATATCTGGTAAAAAATGGGTCGTTCTGGTGGGAGATGTTGATAATGGAGAAGCGGTGTGTGGGAGGAGGGAGGAAGTATGTTGGAAATCTCTCTACCTTTCTCTCGATTTTGTTGTGACCCTAACACTGCTCTAAAAAATAATCTTGTAAACGAAACAAACTGCAGTCCACTCCATGTTTATGCTGGGAATTAATACATAACTAAATAGAAATAAAAGGTTAACTGGTCTTCATTATTTTTGTTTCTGTTATTAGGATTTGAATCAAACTTTGTCTTCCCTATTAACTACAGCATTTTGATCCCTACTTCAATAGATGCGCTTTCCAGTTCCAAGCACGTCAGGGTGCCGGGTGCTCTTGTGTGGGGGGCGTTCAGGTAATTGTTTTCAGGGTCACCTCCTGTCACCTTACTTGTGCTGTGCAGACGTCGTGTGAGTCTTGGTTTCACCTGACACCAGCCAGCTATTCTGTTCGTCAGGAAGGGTCAATTGGAGGTGACCCTGTGCTTCAGCACCAGCTGCCGCTGAGGGGGCCCCTGCTTAGCTGAGCTCAGTCCGTGTCCGCTGACAGGTGGGTCTGGGTCTTTCCTAGAGCCTGGGCTGTGGAACCTTCCGGGCTCCCTCAGGGACAGCTCCACCCGAGCCCCTGAGACCTGGCTGGTCAGCATCGGAGATGGCCTGCATTGCTTTGTGGATTTGTCCTTTGTGCAAGTGTAGACACTTCTCAGGGTGGATCCCCCTTTATACCCGAGTCAGCACTGCAAGGGCTGCTTCCCGAGGTCGGGTCTGGTCACACAGGCAGGTGAAGCTCCCGAGGTGGGGGGAGGGAGGCGTCATGAAGACAGACAGCAGGACGGCAGGTGTGTCTGCACTGAGGACACGTACGGGACTAGCACAGGGCTGGCCTGACTGTTCCCCCCGGGGTCTCGCCCAGCTCACAGACCAGGTTCGTTCCCCTCTCTCTTTCTCCATTTCTTTTCAGTTCTTGATGTTTTCCCAGCACCGTGTGCTTGTCCTTTTATTTATATTATCTCTCATTTCTTTCTCTTTCCTTGTCACTTCTTGTCCATCTTAATTTTAATTTCCCATTTCTTTGCTTTAAGCTTTTATTTTCTTATTTTTCCCATTTCTTTTTTTCTAAATTAAAAAAATATTTAATGTTTATTCAGTTTTGAGAGACAGAGTGCAAGCAGGGGAGGAACAGAGAGAAGGAGACACAGAATCCGAAGCAGGCTCCAGGCTCTGAGCTGTCAGCACAGAGCCTGATGCGGGGCTCAAACTCCCTGTGAGATCATGACCTGAGCCAAAGTTGGCCATTTAACTGACTGAGCCACCCAGGCGCCCCTAAGTTTCTTATATGTGTATTCATTGTGAAGGAGAGAGAGACAGAACATGAGTAGGGGAGGGGCAGAGAGAGAGGGTGATACAGAATTTGAAGCAGGCTCCAGGCTCCAAGTTGTCAGCACAGAGCCTGATACGGGGCTCAAAACTCACTGACTGTGAGATCATGACCTGAGCTGAAGTCGGACGCTTAACCGACTGAGCCACCCAGGCACCTCTTGTTTTTCCCATTTCTTATGAATTTTCTCCCTTTCCTCCCCCCTCCCTGCCCCATTCTTGTGGTGGCTTTTTACTTAGAGAGATAACATGCTTCTTGCTGTGTGCTTGTTATGTGGGTAGAGTGTTAACTTTGATAAATGGTTGTATGATTAGCAATTGAAAAAATTGGAGCGCTGTGTGGTTTTCTCTTTTCAACAACATTTTGACACATTGAACCACTTATTGAAGAATGAAGCTAGCTTTTGGTGGAGATGAAACTCTTATAGACATAGTACTCTAGCTTAATATAGACAGCAACTCTTACTGTGTTTTAGATTCAATATCTTCTTCTTTCAAGTGTGGTTTCTCTCTCCTTTCCTGTTCCCTCTCCTCTCCTCTCTTCTCTTCTCTTTCCTTTTCTTCTTCTTTTTTTTTTTTTTTTGAGAGAGAAAGAGTGAGAGCGAGTGAGGAAGAGGGGCGGAGGGAGAGAGAGACAATCCTAAGCAGGCTCCACACTCAGTGGAGCTGAGTGGGGTTTGACCCCATGACCTGGGATCAAAAATCAAGAGTCAGATAGATGCTCAAGCAACTGAGCTACGAAGGTGCCCCAACTTCTCTTCTTTTCTTTTCCTTTTCAACTGGCAGTCAAGAAAGTGGCCCAGAACTACTGATTTGGATAACCGGAGATTATTTACTGAGCGCTCTACTGGGTATTTCAGCTATGGTGGTGTAGGAAGGTGGGGAAATACTGAAGGACCTTCTTGGAACCCAGGAATTTAAATCACATGTGGACCCCTACCTTATGTATGCATAGAAGAACCTATATATCTGAAAAATAGCCTTATGTATGTATTTATTCAATCAAAATGATTTGTTATCTCTTCAATGACCATTAAAATCTTAGCATGACTACAATCTGGATATAACCTTTGAGTCACCAGCCTACATTTCTGCAGAATGGTCTTGTGAGACACAACTTCTTGATAAGATCGCTACGAAGAAAAGCACCAGTGGTTTTGATTATGTTTCTTGTGATATGGTTAACCATGTAAAACTTAAGGGAATATGTGTGAACAAGTATATCTTCCTTTTTATTTATTTACTAGCCTCTTTCAAAAGTCTTTTTCTTACAAAAAATGTGTCATGAAGATATCATATACAGTTGGTGAAACTATGTTAAATAACATCGCCAATACTTTTGGTAGAATTTTCTGGATAGGGTGCACCTTTGCACACCAAAATTTGAGGACCTAAGTGTAAGCATTTGCTTCTTGTCTTCAGATGATTTCGAGATGGCTGTGCCATCAAATAGCCACGTGGTCTCAGAACCTGGACAAAATATCACGCTCACCTGTCAGCTTCCAACAAAGTGGCCAGTACAACAAATTACCTGGGAAAAGATCCAGCCCCATCAGATAGACCTCCTGACCAGCTGCAACTTGTCCCAGGGGAAGAGTTATACCTCCAAGTACCAAAGATGGATATTGAGCGACTGTCGTCTGGGGATGAGAAGCACCTTCGTCATCATACCCCACGTCATGGCCTCTGACTCAGGACTCTACCGCTGTTGTTTCAAGGCCAGAACAGGAGAAAATGAAACCTCCGTGATGAGGTTTACCGTAAGCGATGGTGAGTATGTGATGGATGTTTTCAAGTGTTAGAAATGGAGAAGGTCAACCACTGGATTAGTTTCTGTTGTCTTTTTCATGACTGTTGTTCAAAATATTAAAAAGAATTTTTTTAACATCTATTCATTTTTGAGAGACAGAGACAGAGCATGAGTGAGGGAGGGGCAGAGAGAGGGAGACACACAGTCTAAAGCAGGATCCCGACGCGGGGCTCAAACTCATGGACTGTGAGATCACGACCTGAGCTGAAGTCGGATGCCCAGCCGACTGAGCCACCCACATGCCCCCAAAATATTTTTAATGACTGAGTTTAGATAAGCTGTTTGAATGTTACTATTTGGGTTTTCTTTATCTTGCTAGTCCCTCAATTACAGATTTAACGATTACAATCCTTTCCAATTCTTGATCTGCCACATTCCTGAAATTAAAAGACAAAATGAGGAAGTCTGAAAAATATGTGGTATCAACAGGCTGTAAGTCTCAGCTTGTATAACTCCTGTGTTTTTCCAAGTACCCCACAACTTCGTAATGGTGGTGACTAAGTTTTATAATTCTCCTGTGTCCTCAGCAATAACAAAATGGTGCTGGATTGGTATTTACTGAGTCAGTGTTGAGTTGAGTGGAATTTAATAAATGTTTGATAATGTTGCTACTTTGCCAGCTCAGAGCTTTAATTCCTTCAGTTGTTTTCAGCCCTGGAAGCAGCCTAGCCTTAGGGCCTCTTCCTCCGAGCAGTACCTCTTTTGTATTAGTAATTTGTCTCCTGTGTCATAATGAGGCCCTAATTTTATAAGCTGCAGGCCCCACAAAACCTGTGTGAGAGTAAGAAAAAGTGACTTTGCACTTCCTGAAGTGTGAATACAGAGAAGCCTACACAGAAGTCCGGATGGAGGGTGGCGTTACCTCCTCTCCAGCTCTCCCGGCTCTGCCTCTGGGCAGGTTTTACAGCAGGGGACCACGTCGCAAAAAAGTAATTTTGCTGGTGACAGAAATTGTATCTCACTTTTCTCTTCCTTCCTTCCTTCCAACCATCCACTCGTCTCTCTCTCTCCCTCACTCCCTGGCTTCCACGTGCTTCCCACCAGCGCGTGTGCCTTGGCTCCTGTGCAGACATTTGGGCCAAGGCTGCCTGGCACCCGGCTGTCCCTTCAGGAACCCTGCTTGTACTGCACACTGAGGGTCACTCCTTTGTTGGGAAAGAGGAAGAACGGGGTTTGCACACGCAGCAGCCTCGGCCCGGCCACCGCAGCAGCCGCGTGCGCTGAGGACACGGGCCACGGGACCGCGCCTTCTCACAAGCACCTGGGACCCCCTGGAGCCGCCTCCGCTTCTCCTGTGGCCGCGGGGGCCGTGCGAGGCCAGACTGCTTCTCAGAACCCGACGCGGGAGCGCCTGGGTGGCTTGGTCGGTGGAGTGTCTGACTCTTGATTTCCGCTCAGGCCTGATCTCACCCTATGTGACATCGAGCCCTGTGTCAGGCTCTGCACTGACAATGCCGAGTCTGCTTGGGATTCTCTCTCTTTCTCTCTCTGCCCCTCCCCCAGCCCCACTCTCTTTCTTTCTCTCTCTTTCAAAATAAATAAACAATGGGAGCTTGGGTGGCTCAGCCAGTTAAGGGTCCAACTTCAGCTCAGGTCATGATCTCACAGTTTGTGGGTTCGAGCCCTGCATCAGTCTCTGTGCTGACAGCTCAGAGCCTGGAGCCTGTTTCAGATTCTTTATCTCCCTCTCTCTCTGACCCTCCCCTGTTCACGCTGTCTCTCCCTCTCCCTCAGAAATAAATAAAACACCGAAAAAATAAACGTTAACAAAAAAGAATTTGATACAAAAGAGGGTTGATGGAATATGTGGGGGAGAAATATTAATAGTTTCTTCACTTTAAATGTTGACTCCATTCCTTCAGACATACATACAAACTATTTCTTACCTTAAAAAAAATTGCATTACAGAAATGTTTCTTAAACCTGGAGAGGAAACACACACACACACACACACACACACACACACACACACACACACTCATTAATCTCTCAGAGACTAAGACAAGGAAAAGTTCTATTCAGAAAAATATCATAAAGAACATTTATCAAATGCATAGGAAATTAGATCTTTTCCACTATGTGCTGAAAAAATAATTATAAACATCTTAAATCATAGAAAAAATAGAGGTAATAAATTTTTAGGAGGTACAATTATTTAACTCTTACTAATTAATAAACAGGTCTTTCACTCATCCAAATATGACTAAGTTTGTCACGCAAAACTATGTAAGCTATAAATGATGTCGAAAATGAAGGTGACTGAAAGTCATGGCCATATTCTTAGTGTTCGTGTGTTTTGGGCACTTGCAAAATGGCCTTTTGACATTCAAATGGAAGGCTAAAAGAATATCAACAGGGCTCATTAGTAAAAAGTGCTAATTGATAGAAAATGTCAGCTGATGACCCTATATTTTGGTTTAATTCGATTTTAAAATAAAATAAAAGTAAAGGTTGAAAATAAAAAACAAATCAGATGGAAAGCAAAAGAGCTCACTTACATCTGCTCTCAGATTTGATTATTTCAAGTCTTGAGGCTGTTTGGTCAAAAATCAATGCAGGGATTAAAGCAGAGAGACAGGTTTAAGATGTGGAGCGGATTTAATTTATTTCAACTGTCAGGGAAAGGTGATTGTGACACAAATTTTATAAACTGCTGTGCATCCTTTTGTTCGCTCCCATCAACTTCTTTTATAGGATCCAAAGGAGAGTATTTCGTGACTGTCAAATTCTACACACACCCAGGGCTCTTCCCCTGAGTTTTGTGTGCATGTGTTCATCCTCGGACAAATAGCAGGTACTCAGAGGTCACCCAAGAGATGACACAATGCCAACCAGTGTGCCATTATGGAGTTCTTTTTTTTTTTAATGCCTGTTTATTTATTGAGAGAGACAGAGAGAGCAGGGAAGGGGCAGAGAGAGACAGAGGGGGGGTAGAGAATCCCAAGTAGGCTCCGTACCAGCAGCACAGAGCCTGACATGGGGCTCAGACTCACAAACTGTGAGATCATGACCTGGGCTGAAATCAAGAGTCAGATGCTTAACTGATTGAGACTCCCAGGTAACCCTCTAGTTCTTGACACATTTCAAGCAGAGGGAGAAAATGACAGAAGTGTGGGTTGAACCTGAATTTCCTATTGACTATTCTTCGCTGAGTGGAAAGAAATATTTGTGTCCTGTCCTTTGCACTCAGGACCTGGGAAGTTTGAAATATCTCCAGACTGGCTTCTCTGAATTTGAAACTTGTCTAGAGCATGGGGCAAGAAACGGAGGGAAATGTGTGTATGCTGATGGTGACCAAGAGTATTTTTGGCCCTCAGTGTCCTTTAGATGGACATTAGTCACAAGAAAAGCACTTTAGTTTCCACCAAAAGAATTTATGAAGCTGTTTAATATTAACTAAATGATGTTCAGACTACTATTGTTTAAACCGAGCTTATCAGTTATAAAAGGAACGAGGATCAAAGAAATGACATCAGCTCTCTCAGGAAGTTTCCGGAGGAGACTGGTTTTGAACAGACTTCTGTTTGCCAATGCTGAACAGTACTGCTACTCACGTCTTTGTCCAATCTTCCTCTGCCAGTGAGGACACTCAGCTGAGCCACCAAATGTCAACTGATGATCAGAGGAGAGAACAGACAAAACAGGGTATAAGAAGTAACACAAAATAGGCACAGGGAGAGGGGAGGAGGGACGAGGAAGCTGTGTGCGTGTGACTGCACACAAGGGACTAGGCTGGTACAGAGATTCTGAGTCAGGGGTTAATATAATTAGTATCAATTAGGTGACAACTTGGTACAATTCTGGATTTCATGTAAGAGCCATGAGAGCCATTACTGATTCTTGACCAAAACAGCAAAAATAATATTGGAGGAAGTGTAAGTGAAATCACTGAGAACTGAATCAAAAGGAGAAATGTGAGCCGGAGGAATCCAGCCATCATGGTAAGGGCATGAGCATTTGGACTCTCGCACTGGGCTCCCACTATCGCAGACTAGGTCTTTGGGCACCTGAAGGAGCCCACTCCAAGCAGACACATTTCAAATGGTGCCTCACTGGGCAGGCAAATTAGAAAATGGTGCCCCTTCCTCTGGGCTGCTTAAGACCCAAAAGCTGCTGTGCAGGCTCGGGGGTGGGGGGACCGAGGCCCTTACCCATCTTGGCTGGACAAGGTGGCCTGGGCGAGGGCAGAGGGGGGTTAGTCTGATTGGAATGTCAGCCTGTACATTCCATGGGCTTGCCAGTCACTCGCACTTTCTTACCTTCCCCTCTTTCCAACTGACCTACTAAGTTTTACCCATTTACCTCCTTCCCTTTAGAGTTTCAGTCAGATCTCTCTCTCTTTTTAATATAGTTTATTGACAAGTTGGTTTCCATATAACACCAGGTGCTCCTCCCAACAAGTGCCCTCCTCCATGCCCATCACCCCTTTTCCCCTTCAGTCAGATCTCTTCCATGTCCATGACTTTTCCACATTAGCCCAAACGGCTTCCGTGCCATTGAACTGTGAAATATTTTCCACTTCTCAAACTTTTTTGACTTGGGAATTTATATCCTTGAGTAATTGCATCTATTTGCAACGGTCCAGACACTTATGTTAGGAAATCACTTGCCGTTAGGGATTATGGCATCTTTGCTTAGAGTTGTCAAAATATCTTTCCAGAATATTCTCAATACATGTTCTTGACTGATTCTTTGTATGTTAATATTTTCATATGTTCAAGTATATGTCTATATATTTTACCTTATATTTTAAAACATGTCCATTTTATTTTCAAGTTTTCAAGCTAGATTATTTCTAGATTTTTCTTCATCAACACTCAAACATTTGACATTTAATTGCTGATCAAAGCAATTAAATCTGAGGAGATCTGTTGTAATACTTGGGGAGAAAACCTTCATGAGTTTTGTTTATATTTGTGTCTTTCATAAAAAAAATCGATTTCCTTGATTAAGTTTAGTT